GCAACAATCTTGTATGTTCTTCACATGTACCCCAAAACCTAAAATGCAATTAAAAAAGAGTTGCAATGGCAAAATCTATATGATATAACTATTTTGGAACTCTGGAATATATTTCAGGCTTGGAACTTCCAGGAGAAGGCTTGGATGGTAAATTGTGATTAATTTCAGTCAATTTTAGCTTTTATCACAGTAGTGTCAATAGATTCACTACAGTTTTCCACCCTAGTCTCCATAGCAGGCAAGTGTGCCCATGTTCCAAGGGCAGCTTGCACTGAGCTGATGGGAGCCAGTATTGGCAAAAATCACACTTTCCACCAAATATCAGGGATTTGTGCCCTGTTTTCTGGTTGCTATTTTTGATACTCCTATGGCAAGGCCATCCCTGTCCATCTGAAGTGACTTCCAAGGTATGAGACAGCTAGCACCCTCCCCATCATCACCTATATTTTTTCCCCTTTTTGGCAACCAGACATTAAAAACTAAGACATTCAAAGTAAAAGTTAGAAAGTGAATTCACATGCCTAGGGAAAGGTGCAAACTCAGGAAACACCCTGAGAAGAACTTAAGATTATATCTCAGGACAATCTTTACACAGAGTTAGCCTGAAACAATCAACACAAAAACAAAAACAAAATACTTACCCTCACTGGGTAAGAGATTAATCTTATTTCCAGAATTACTACCTTATTAGATTAGAATGTCCAGTTTTCAACAACAATAAAAAGAGTCACAAGGCATACATTAACACAGAAAAGTCTGGCCCATAAAAAAAGTCTCAGAAATCATACCTAAAAAAGATCAGATAGCAAATCTACTAGATAAAGGCTTTGAACTAACTTTGTTAAAGAAGCTGAAAGAATTAAAGGAAGAGATGGAGAAACTCTCAACAACAGTGAACTGTAGGGCTGTAGGGCCCCACGGGGTCATGGGGAGTCGCTTATGACAAGCAGGGGGCAGGGTCATGAGTGAGGTAATCATCTACAGGCTTAGTAATATGGCATACATAATCACGTGAGTCACAAGCAAGGGGGCCACACCATTATGTCACCTTGGCAGAGAGGTGGCATGCACAATAGGGGCTGTGCCGTGCACAGTAGTAGAGGATCATGTACAAAAAAGGAGTCCACCCCCATTAGGTCACCGAGGCAAGAAGGTGGGCTGTGTGTAACAGGTGTCGTGAGCAACACTTCTTATCTGGGAGCTGGAAATTTCAAAGGATTTCTGATAGAAGGATACTGTAAGCCAATGCAGTGGGAGCTGACATACTTGTACTATTCTTTTAAAATATTTATGGGAGGATGATTTGAGCCAGCACAGAAGCCAGAAAAGACTGACAGGGTGTACAGCCGCAGTGACTGGTCACACCAGAGGGGTTCTTCTCCGTTGGTTATTTCCAGAATCTCAGGCCTGAGGCCTACTTTCCACAGGAACTGGATGCAAGGTACTACAACTCCTAAAGGAGTTGTAGGAGGAGAGGCTCTTGCTCCAAGCCTGCCATACAGTGTATGCCCTTTCAGGCAGGGATGCCACCGCCTAGGTCGTTGGTTCTTGTCCTGGTCTGTCTGTTTTCCCATGTACTGTTTCTGTTCTGTGACTGCTCTAGGCATTCCTCCTGCTACAAACTACTATATGGTTATATAGAAGGATTCTATAAATCAGCACTAAATGTGTCAATACAGCTCTGACTACAATACCTATATGATTATATCGAAACATTATTTAGAACTAAGTATGCTAGATGTAAGTTTTAAGTATGATTATATAAGCTAGATATATGTAAGCAGTAAGTAATACTTCAGGCACTAATTCTATAATATATGATTATGTATAAAAGATTATATAAAGGAAATAGCTGAGTAATAACACGATAAACTAAGATATTCTTCAGGCACTAATTGTGCCTGGGGTCTGGACAGTTCTCCTTCCCCGGTGCCCTTGGGGGGTGTTACCCACAATGAACAAACAGAATGAAACTATCAGTAAAGAGGTAGACAACATGTAAAGAAAACAAAAAAATTCTGAAGCAAAAAATGAAGTCACTGAAATAAGCACTAAATAATTTATTAGAAGGATTTAGAGGCACATTGGAGTAGACAGAAGAAAGAAATGGAGAACTTGAAGATAGGACCATGAAATTATCAAGTCTTAGAAACAAAAGAAAATGATTAAACAAAAGTGAATCAAGTCTAAAGGAACCATGGACACCATCCACTGAACTTTAATGGAATCCTCAGTGACCTGTGTCCCCAAATAATTCTAGTTTTTTCCTCATTGTTTAATCAAATCATGGTGTTTGAATATGTGTTTTAATGACAAAGTTTTCATTGGTCATTTCCTCTTACTTTCATCCAGATCACCAGGTAACAAATAGCTTGATATCCTCCAAATGGCATGGTCCTGCAGTCCTCTCAGTCTGAAAATTCATGAACATATGCTTTAGGATTTGTTTGTGTTGTTATTTTTCTGTAGCTGCCCACTAGGCTACCAATATATTACCAAAAATACTAAATCTATTTAGAAACATTGTTAATGATGTAATAAGAATGACTGAAGCAAGCATTTCTTCTTAATAAGACAAGAAAATCCATAATAGTCATCCAATATAGAAAAGAAAAAGTAAAATTTGTTTATGAAAAATGACTTGATCCTCTACAAAATTCTTCAGAATCTTTAAAAAATATGCTAGAATTTACTAGTCAGTTTATCTGAATCAATATATAAAAATCAAAAATATTTTTAAAGGAGCAATGAACAATCAGATATTTAATCTCTAGAATATTATTTCTAACATTATGAAGCATTTAAAATTCTTAGGAATAAGTTTATAGAAAGACATGTACATTGAAAACTAAAATATTGCTAAAAGAAAATAGATAAGACCTAAACAATGAACAGATGTATTGAGCTTAAAGAGATTTTAAGCTCTCAACATTATTGAGATTTAAAGACTCAATAATGTTAAGGTATCAATTATAATCACACTCATCTATAGATTCAAATTGAGGAGGCAGAGGCTTGAAGGGTAACATATTGATGATAAAAGAGAACTATATAGAAAACTGAAGGTCGCAGAAGGAAAGAAGTGCAGAAATAAATGGAAGAACACGTCTTAGAGGAGCCACATTGGGAAGATCTTAAGCTTCCCAAAAAGGCCAATGAAGTTTTACTTTTTTTTTTTTTTTTTTTTGCAGCAAAATTTATGCCAGCAAGAAAGGAGGCAAACAGAGGGATCAACATCTCATTAAAAAGAGGTTTAGGTCTACTGAAAAATCTTCCTATGGGAGAAACAGGATCCCATTTTAAATCTCTTATCAGATCTCAGCAAGAAAAAAAAGCCAATATTTCTAGCTTTTGAAACTGTTTTTTCTTTCCTTTTTCTCTTTTCTTTTAAAACAAAGGTATCTAACAAGTGACTCCAAACCAAAACCAATTCAGTCTTTTATGACTTAACCAAGGATACATAAGACATCTTCAAAGAAATGTAAAGATGCAACCCTCTCAGAAATCAGAGCCACTCCTAAAGATAGACAAAAGAAGGATTTAGACACTTTGAGAGCTAGCAAGAGTTGATATGTAAGCTTGCCATGGGAGCTCCCAACTTTTCATTTATTTTTTTTTTTGGCCACCTGCACATCTGAAGTGTGTTGCACAGGCAGCAAGCCAAGCCAGGTTCTCAGGACACAATATGAGACAAACAGGGACACAATATCTGTGTTTGGAAGGGAAAGGATTAATAACAAATGTATACTTTATATCAAAATTTCACAAGAAGCACAATCCAAGCAAATAGTTTTCTCTTGCTATCCTGAAGTTGGAAAGAAGAAAACTGGAAATTTTTACCTTCCAACCTTGACTAGGCACTACAGGCAGAGATCCAGGAAAATAGACCTTGATACAAATTCTTACTTTTCTTTGCCATCTTTTGGCCAACTCACCTCATCAGTAGGTGAGTCAGGTGCTTCAGCCATCCCATCCTCATCACCAGGACTATAGGAGCAGAAATGGTGTAATCTCTTTTCTTCCAATTATAAGGATCATACCTGACTTCCCTTTAGCAAAAGAAAGACACCAAAGCATATTTATTTCATCATAGTTTTATGTGACATGGGAGCCTTCAGAATGAAAATCCACAGTTACATGAAAAAAAGATTCGTTTTAATGTTTAAGTTCAGTGAAGAATGAGCAGCTATGTAAAAATGTGATTAGGCAAAAAGGGCATGATCTAATGCTAACAGACTGAGTAAGGAAACCCAACATGGGCTTTCTGGTCAGATTCTTCTTGACCTTTCTGTGCAGCCTTCCTTTCCCCCAGGCATGGGGCAGAGCTCTTTTTGGAATGGGGGTCTTATAAGCTACAATTGAACAAGATAGTTCAAAGAATTTCTTTAGGACCAGTTCTTCCACAGAAACTTAAGAGTGATATGTTTAGGTTTCATGGCTTACTTTGGAGAATGGAATCCTTGGGAAAGGGGATTTCTAGTTTATATGGCTAGCATCTAGAGATTGAAGAGTGAGAAACAGGAGGGGGAAAAAATCAAGAGAGAACATTTGCTTCTGAGACCATCACTTCTGAGTATTGTTTTTTTCTGAGCCCCAACACACGTGAAGAATGGGATTCAGAAAACAGAGAAGAGGAAGGGAATTGTGCTAGGTATGGGAATCAGCCAGTATATGTCATGCATATTTTACTTCGATTTAGGGAAATAACTTCTCTTCCATATATTTCATAAGCTATCATTTCCTGACAAATGTAAAAATTAATATTTCGATGTGAAGGGTGACTATTTTTCAGTTTTCTCCAGAATACTTCCAAGAATTCTGTTTTTTGGTGTCATGTTCTCAAAGGTAGTAGTTACTGAGTTTGAGGAGAGTGTTCATGATTTTGATATATATGTATAAAATAAGAAGATAACCACATATCTATAAAATGAGACAATGATAGAAATATATGCTTAATGCATCTAGATATTTCTAGGTATCTATGTATATGATGTTGATTGTGTAGTTTAAGGATAAGATTCAAGAGACCCCTGTGCTCTTCATCCCTGCTACCTCAGCAAGTCACACACACTTCCTGGGAAATACCTCCATGGAAACATGGTGCCAATTATAGGAATGTCTCTCAAATTCTACCAAAATTGATACATTTGAATAAACGGACCTCACTAGCTCTTAGAGAGAATAATAATAATATTCTTTTATATTCCTTAGCTTCTGTGGGATTTTTCCCTTTTGCTAACTAGGCACAGTTTTCATTGCTGAGTTGAGCTGTCAAGATTACTATCTAAAGTGACAATGAGAAAATGTTTTGATTAAAGTTTGAACTCTGTTATTAGGAATGAATCTGTGAAAATAAGATTGCCTTTTCAAGAGTTTAATGCACTAAATAAACATGATATTTTTGTGAATAGTATTAAGTTTCAATCCAAAGTGGCAGCTCTGTGTGTCCCCAGGAGTCCTAATGCATGTGGAAAGGCCGATTCTAGGGAGCATAGACTGGTCTGCCGGGAATGCAGTCTCTCTGTCCCTATAACTGGAAATCCCAAGTAGTCCATTCCCTGACTGCAGCCAGAAACTCATTCTCTTTGTAATAGACCAAGGGTAAGGAGATATGCTTATGTCCGCATGAGTATCTCTTCTGGCTAAGAAGTAGCCTTTTTGCAGCATGTGGAGAAATCCCCTGAACTGGAAGGATTTCTTCATAGATGAGAAACCTGCTCTCCAGTCTTGGTTGCTGCCCTGTCATACTTGGCCCCAGGGGACTCTTTTCCCCTGAGAGGTTTGCAGGAGCCTACACATGAACTGAATTCTGCTTTCTCTTTCCTTTTTACTAAGCTACTGTTATGTCATATTCAATGGAGATTCTAGAAACCCTTCTTGCAGCTGTTTCTGTAAACCTAGAAGTTTTATCTCACTTCTGCTTTCTCCATGTGGCATTCTGCTCTTTAGGGAAGCTATCTGAAGCCAGAACCACAATGTAACAGAAAGCTTCTCTGTGTGAATGGGCAGGAAATTCAAGGGAATGAATGACCAGGGTACCACAGGGAATCCACCTTGGAAAGAAAGGAAACCCTGGTGATATGGAAGTGCCTCCTGGAACGCTGAGAGCCAGGGAGGGAATGTGCCAAGTGCCTGAATCAGTAAATAAACATCACATGTCTTCTGCACTTCAATCTATATGTTTATTCTCCTGTCTCAGGTATTTATACAAGCAAGCATTCCTTGACCACATATAAATAGGTCATTTCTTTGAAATTAGGAGTGACCATTTTTCAACCTCTCTATAGATGATAACAGAATCTAGTTTTTTTAGGCTGCCTCCATTGGCGGTCACTTAGTGATAAATAGAACACAGATCCTAAGAATTTTATAGAAAGATAAACAATGTCCTCATCTACAGCCATCTGAAGAAAAACAGGGAAACATCTATGATATTTTAACTTCTTACTTGATGGAAGATACTGTGGTAGGTGCTTAAAAATTCATGTTTTTTTAATACTCACAACTATATAAATATTTTGCACCCAATTTTTATGAGAGGAGTGAAGCTCAGAGAGATTAAATGGGTTGACCAACATCACACATACATCCAAGAAAAATGAAATTTCAATATCAAAGTCTTTAATGTAAATTATGCGTGATTTTGTCAGTTTTGTATCTGGATTTCTATTACAATTGTTAAGTCTCCTTGTACTCCTGAATTATACACAACTCTTTGGTACTTTCTGTTTCAGGATGTATTTTTAGCTGGTTTGACTAATTTTTTTCCCTTAAGTATTGGGGAAGAGATTCTCTGATCCAGTTTCCCAATTTAATTTGTGAAGAAAGTTTGCCAGTTTATGTGCTTATGGTAATTTAGTTATTTTTGGATTAATGTAAGAGTGTAATATTCATAAAATGAGGAAAAATTACCAAAGAGTTCTTATCATATCTGGCTCTACCAGAGAATTGCAGTCAAATTGTAGTAAACCAGCATGACAATGGCACAAGCTAAATAACTTAATAAAGCCAGTAATTGCAGTAACCATTATATTGTCAATATTAATTGAATATTTAAATGAAAGATTGAAGTAGTTACCTATTCCTGCCTAAAAAATTAACCAAAGTAGGCATCTTTCTCATATTCACAGTAGTATTAATTAAAACTGATAAAGTACTGTTGCAATTAAATATTCCGTAATTTAAAATAAATATATGAAATATATTAATGTCATTTTCCAGTACCTCAATTACATGAAATCTATTCAGAAAAATATACATTGTAAAAAGAAAAATTGTGCACAGAAAAAATAACCCGCATTCTTCTATTTCTTTCTCTACTTCAGGTCACTACCTTACCTTATTTACACTTCCACTTCTGTCTTCTTCTGTGTATTAATTTTATCCAACCAATCCTCACTAAGGGTGCCAGTGCCATCTATTTCCCAGTTAGTCAGCAGTTTCAAGCCACACGTTGGGCAAATCCACTAAATCCTCTTCTCAGTACGTTTATTTCCTTCTGTTTGTTTATTTTGAGATGTGGTCCCTCCTCCTCTATCTTCCAGGCCTGAGTGCAGTGTTGCGATCATGGCTTACTGCAGCCTTGAACTCCTAAGCTCAAGCATTTTTCTTTCTAAATACGCTTTCATTACCTTTTCCTCTAGTTGCCTTCTAGTGTGCAGCCATTCCACCTGTTTTCCTTTGTGGCTCTTCTCTCCCCTCTCTTTAAAAGTGAAAGGACGGGCCAGGCATGGTGGCTCACGCCTGTAATCCCAGCACTTTGGGAGGCCGAGGCGGGTGGATCACGAAGTCAGGAGATCGAGACCATCCTGGCCAACATGGTGAAACCCTGTCTCTACAAAATAAATACAAAAAAAATTAACCAGGCATGGTGGCACATGACTGTAATTCCAGCTACTTGGGAGGCTGAAACGGGAGAACCGTTTGAACCCAGGAGGCGGAGGTTGTGGTGAGCCGAGAATGCGCCATTGCACTCCAGCCTGGGTAACAAGCGAAACTCCGTCTCAGAAAAAAAAAAAAAGTGAAAGGTCCTCATAATCACATTTAAACCCTTTTTTTCTCTCTACATTCTCTTCACACACTATTACCTTGAATTACTGGCTTCCCCTTATTACATATGAAACCCCAGCAATCACATTCCTTATAAATTACAAACATGTAAATAACTGGCAATGGACATTTTCTACTAGATGTATACTAATGAACTTAACGAGGATATCTCTGTGTTTTATTTCCTCACATACCTTAATCTACCTTCTGCAGAGTAGAAGTCTCTTCATACCATTTTCCATATTAAGTATGATTTCTGTTTTTAGTTTTTTATACAAAAATAATATACACAAGAGAGCAGAATTGTATTTGTTAGGTTCACCTTGTTATCTTGAGTACAACATACAACCTGCTTTACAGAAAGTTTATTTTTACATTTATTTGAATATAATGTTGATAAATAAATGAAGTGTACCATTTATTCTTTAATCAGGTTGCACAGTCAGGCTTGGAATTTCATTTTAAAGAATAAACAAGTACAAAAAATTTCCATAGTAAAATTTCAAGGAAAAAACAAAATAAATTTACTAAATACAAAGAACATATTTTATTACATTCACCACAGTGCAAAGGTGCACATGATGTAATATGAACAAAACTAAGTTAAGTCTTATAAATAGTTAAATAAACAATATTCAAATAATATTTAAATAGATAATAGATCAGTCAGCATAGTCATCCGTAAGGGACTAGTGCATTAAGAGCTGAATACAATGTTGCTTAATACTCCTAAAAACGTTTGAAAAGATTGACATGGTGTCATGGTCAAAGGGGAAGCATGAGTCTTTGAAATGGAAGATCATAGAAAGGTGAGCTGGTGTGTTAGTCAATTAGAATCATTTCCACGTTGAACCAGGTTTCATTTCTTACTTCTTAAACCTTTTTGCAAGTTTGTTGATGAAGAAAAAGATCTCATTATTTCTGCTCTGACAACCTCCCAGGCACAAGCGCTGTATTTTTTCTCTTTCAGATAGAGAGTGATTCTTTGGAAATATTTCTTCACAGTCAGAGTAGAGTCCTCATTCAGCAGGGGAGTATCTGTCACCCCCACCTCCTGCATCACACAGGCTTCCAATTCATTCAGCTGCTGGTAAAGTTCAGTGCGGAATTTGTCTAGGAGGGTCTCATCCCAAGCAGCAGATGAGTCTTTTGTGCTGAAGAGGTTGAAGGTCTGCTGGATCATCTCATGGAGGACAAAAATGGCTCGAGCCTTCTGGAACTGGTTGCCATCAAACTCCTCCTGGGGAAATTCAAAGTCATGTCTGTCCTTCAGGCAGGAGAAAGGAGAGATTCTCCTCATTTGTGCCAGGAGCATCAAAGTTCTCCTGTTACCCAGGCTGTGGGTTTGAGGCAGATTACAGTCCAGAGAGCAGCTTGACTTGTAGCTGAGGACCATGAGGGCCATCAGTAAAGGAAAGGTCAAGGCCATTGTAGTTGTTGCAGATGCTGCTATTTTGGTTGAAATGGGTGAACCTGAACCTTAGGCTCCAGGCTCTCTGAAGACCTTGCTTTGTGCATAGCCTTAAATAGGGAACATACTATTTTCTACTTTCCAAATGCCCATGTTAGTTTCTATTTCTCTTTTTCCTTTCTTTACGCATTCTTTAAATGGGTTTGAAGTCTTTTTTCTCACCACATTTTTTTTCATTATTGCTTCCTTCCTCTCCAACCCCAGAGCCTTTTTAGAGACTTTTTTTTTCTGATGAAATCTCCCATTATATTTTAATCACATTTATACTGTGTATGTATTTATGTATCTTATGTATATCTGTATTCTGTACATTAAATAAAAAAGTATAGACTTAATATTTTTTATCATTATAAAGAATGGTAAAACAATGAAAATTAAATTAAAAGTCTATTGACATTTTACTTAACTTGATAACTATATTTTTAGAGCAACTTTTTTGAAAATAGATTTTTGAGGGTACATAATAGACATCTGTGTTTATGGGATATGTGACATATTTTGATATAGGCAGACAATGCATAATAATTACATTGGGGTGAATGGAGTATCTGATGCCTCAAGCATTTATTTATTTCCCTGTTACATATATCCCATTTCTACTATTTTGGTTATTTAAAAATATATAATAAATTGTCATTAACTGTAGTCATCCTATTGTGCTATCAAATACTAAATCATATTCATTTTTTCTAACTATATTTTTGTGCCCATTAACCAACCCCGTTTAACCCTCTTATGATCCAGGCAATCCCACTACTGGGTATTTATCCAAAGGAAATGAAATCAGTTTGTCAATGAGATATCTACACTCCCATGTTTATTGCAGCACTATTCACAACGGTTACTATTTGGAAGCAATTTAGTTGTCTAACAGACGACTAGATAAAGCAAGTATGGCACTTATCCACATTGGAGTACTACTTAGCCATAAAAAAGAATGAGATCCTATCATTTGCAACAACATGGATGGAGCTGGAGGACATTATGTTCATTGAACAACATTAAATCCATTGATTTGCACATGCTTAACCACATTTGCATCTCTAGGATAAATTCCACTTGGTCATGATGAATGATCTTTTTTTTTTTCCTTTTTTTTTTGAGATGGAGTTTCGCTCTTTTTACCCAGACTGGAGTGCAATGGCATGATCTCGGCTCACCGCAACCTCCGCCGATGAATGATCTTTTTAATGTGTTCTTGCATTCAGTTTGCTAACTTGTTGTTGAGGATTTCTGTGTCAATGTTCATTAGAGATAATGGCCTGTAGTTTTTCTCTTTTTTATAAATGTGTCTTTTTCTGGTTTTGGTATCAGAGTAATATTGGCCTCATAGAATGAATTTGGAAAGATTCTGTCCAGTATTTTTAAAAATAATTTGAGTTGGATTGGTATTAGTTCTTTAAATATTTGGCAAAACTCAGCAGTGAAGCCATCAGATCCTGGGTTCTTTGCTGGGAGGCTTTTTAGTATGGCTTCTGCCCCATTACTTATTATTGTTCTGTTCACACTTCATATCTCTTCACACTTCAGTGAAGAAATACAAAAACCTTGAAGAAATACAAGAAACAATTCTTGTGTGTCTTCTAGAACCATTCTTGTATTTCTTCATGGTTTTTGTATTTCTTCATGAAACTGTGAAGAAATACAATACCTGAACAGACCAATATGTTGTATTTTTTTAGGAATTTATCTATTTTGTTTAGGCTTTCCAGTTTATTGGCATATAGTTCCTTATAATATCCTCTAATGATTCTTTGATTTTCTGTGGTGTTGGTTGTGCTGTCTCCTCTTTCATCTGTGATTGTATTTATCTGGGACTTCTTTTTTTCTTAGTCTGTGGTAAGAGAAGACATTTAATATTATTTTACTTTTTTTCTATATTTTAAGATTTGTTTTGTGACCTAGCATTTGGTATACCCTTGAGAATTATCCATGTGTCGAGGAGAAGAATGTGTATCTGTAGCTGTTGGATGAAATGTTCTGTAAATATCTATTAGGTACATTTGGTCTATAGTGTAGATGAAATTCAATGTTTGTTAATTTTCTGTCTGGGTGATCTGTCCAATGCTGAAAGTGCAGTGTTGCAGTCTCCAGTTACTATCGTATTGGGGTCTATCTCTCTTTTTAGTTCTAATGATATTTGTATACCTGAGTGCTCCAGTGTTGGTAATATTTATTTATTATATATGCTCTTGCGGAATGGACCCCTTTATCATAATATAATGACCTTCTTTCTCTCTTTTCATAGTTTCTGTCTTGCAATCCATTTTGTCTGATACAAGTGTAGCTTCTAATTTTTTTTGTTTGTTTGTTCCCATAGGTACAGAATGTTTTTTCCCCTTTATTTTCAGTCTATTTGTGTCTTTATAGGTGAAGTATATTTCTTGTAGGCAATGGATTATTGCCTCTAGGAGTTTTTGTTTTGTTTTGTTTTGCTTTGTTTTGTTGAGTTAGTCTTGCTCTGTCACCCAGGCTGGAGTGCAGTGGCTCAGTCCAGCTCGGATCACTAGAATCTCCACCTCTCAGGTCCAAACTTTTCTTATGACTCAGCCTATGAAGTTGCTGGGACCACAGGTATGTGCTACCACGTTCAGCTAATTTTTTGTATTTTTAGTAGAGATGGAGTTGTGCCATGTTGGCCAGGCTGGTCTCGAACTCCTTGGCTCAAGTGATCCACCTGCCGTGGTCTCCCAAAGTGCTGGAATTATGGACACAAGCCACCACACACACCTGGGGGTATTTTTTGTTTGTTTGTTTTTTAAAATACATTAAGCCACTCCATGTCTTTTGATTGGAGACTTTAGCACATTTACATTCAATGTTATTCTTTATGAGGACTTATTCCTGTCATTTTGTTATTTGTTTTCTGATTATTTGATGGTCTTCTCTTCTTCCTTTCTTCATTTTTGTCTTTCTTTTACTATGGGTGATTTTCTCTGGTGTGTGTTTTAATTTCTCCTTTTTATTTTGTGTGTGTTTGTTGTATGTTTTAGATTTGAGATTACATTGAGGCTTGCAGATAGTCTTTTAACCGATTATTTTAAACTGATAACACTGATTGCATAAACAAGCAAAAGAAAACAAAATCTCAAACTTCATCTCCCCACTTTTTAACTTTTTGTTGTTTCTATTTATCTTATTATATTGTGGATATCTTGAAAAGTCATTATAGTTATTATTTTTGATTGATTAATCTTTACCTGTTTCTACATAAGACATGAGTGGTTTACACAGCACAGTTGCAGTGTTATAATAGTCTGTGTTTTTCTTTTTTTTTTTTTTTTTGAGATTGAGTTTCGCTCTTGTTACCCAGGCTGGAGTGCAATGGTGCGATCTCGGCTCACCGCAACCTCGCCTCCTGGGTTCAGGCAATTCTCCTGCCTCAACCTCCTGAGTAGCTGGGATTACAGGCACTGCCACCATGCCCAGCTAATTTTTTTTTTTTTTTTTTGTATTTTTAGTAGAGATGGGGTTTCACCATATTCACCAGGATGGTCTTGATCTCTTGACCTCGTGATCCACCCTCCTCGGCCTCCCAAAGTGCTGGGATTACAGGAGTGAGCCACCGCGCCCAGCCAATAGTCTGTGTTTTTCTTTGTACTTATTATGACCACTGGCCACGTGCTGCTTTATTGATTTTTTTTTTAACAGTAATTCACTGATGGTAATTCTCCATTTCCTGTCTCTCTGCTGAGGGCACTGGTGATGCTTTGCTGTTGCCACTCCTGTTCCTGTGGTTGGAACACATCCTGATTACTGCTGACGGCAATCATCACCTGCTCCGCTCTGTTCCACTCTATCCTTCCCATTTCACTCATCAGGATATGTCATTTTCTAGTTTCCCAATCATTTTCTACAGTCATGTAAGTTGGAAGCATAAGCATCCTCTCTTTTCAACCCACAAGAGCCACTAGCTCTGTTTTCTACAGGAGTCACTGAAATAATTGTAAGAAACTCACCCTCTGGACCTTGTGAACTTATGGTGAGAATTAACTGAGCAATGTACATGAGCCACCTGGGTGATTATTTTATACCAGTAATTATTAGAATTTTTTATTTTGTTGATCACATTTCAGACTCTCAAAATAACTACCAAATGTTAATTTTATTTTGCCAACTATATAAAATAGTCAAGATATTTTCTTGTCATTTTGTGAACACATCACATTTGTAGGTGAGGCACAAATTGGTGAAAATACTGGATAATTCGTAATCAATTTGAGAATTGTAGGAGACCATAAGAAACATCAGTGTTTTATAAGTAAAGTGTAGGCCTTTCTAGAAAATATGTGATGGTTCAATACATGCAATTTCCACAGGCATGTAATGCTGTTGGTGAGGAGGTGGAGTTTGAAGTCTGACAAGGGTTTCAAAATGTAGATTTGCCTTTTATTTACTAGATTGTTTTAGTTACATATACTCCATTAGCATGTGGTTTTTTTGGTAAATGAGATTATGGTGGGGTATTAAATGAATCCTTCAGAAAGGAGAGAATAATTTGTAGTTGTCATCACCACCACCATCATCATCATCATCATTTTTGATAAAGACTGGAAGAAGCCTATGTGATTTGTCTGTCAGGCCCTTGGTAGTCAGAATCAGAGCAACACCGAAATATTTAATTAGTAATCAATTCAGGATTAATGTGCCATAAGAAAATAAAGGCAACATCAAGGAATGTGTTCTCTATCCTCAAACAAATGCAAAGAATAAACACTATTTTAATGAAACCTTGCCATATAACCATGATAACCTGAGATCTCTTCATCATTACATCATTCATGTAGCACCTATGATACATTAGATTGTGACCCAATATTTCAAGTATAAATCATATATAACAGAGTTAAAATCATCAAGTATAATTATTAACCCTTTCTCTAAAAGAGGATCTAATATCTGTACTCACAGGTAAAATAACAGACATTGAATCAAGGAGAGGAGGAAAATGTTGGCCTCAATTTGGCCTCAGTTAAGAAAAGCACAAGGGTATAAATGAGAGAAAGAAATTCACAAGAAGTAGGAGGAGACTACAAGAAAGAATATGCAGGTGTTTTGGGGGGAAATAGGCATTTGCTTAGAAGGAGCTACCATGATAAAAATGATTCATGGAGTAAATGGTTAAAGAGCACTTAATTTTTACGTCTGTTTGCTTTAGCGACAAGTCTCGCTGTGTTGCCCAGGCTGGAGTGCAGTGGTGTGATCACAGTGCATTGCAGTCTTGAACTGCTCGGCTCATCCTCCTGCCTCAGCCTCTCCAGTAGCTGGCACAGGTCCATGCCACTGTGCCCAGCTCAAAAGAGCATTTTGAAATGTTTTTATAATTACATAAGTTTTATATATATTTGACATTGATATATTTAAATATATGAAAATTGTTCACATTTCAATCACTTCAAAAAATGTAAAACATCCTTGGTCATTAA